ACAAGCGGCTTTTGGTTTGATCTGTTATTCATGTTTACTCTGTGACAATGTTGACAGTAATACACCAACAACAAACGTAGATGGCAATCAAGGATTCGCGTGTACGGTGAGTCGTTATAGTTTTCATGTCTATGTGATACGATAAACTTTTTGCTTCAATAACTTTTAGAAAACTATAACGTTGGCTGCTGGTAAAGTAGCTACAACAAATCGTGGTGCCACACGTAGTTGCTCCGAAATCAACAGCGTCGTTGCTGGATTTGGTAGCCGAACCACATGCTGTAAATCTGACAGATGTAATTCAGGCATTGCTATTTCCAGTTCGATCGGCTTAACATTAGCTTTTGTTATCATTGGCAGCATCATTCAAGGCATTTGGAATTACTGAACACTAGATGTTTGGATATAGAAGTTTCGAATAAACTATCTGAGATACTCATACGCTGTTTAATTTCATTCTCATTTCACTGATGTTTTTTCATTTTTCTTAAATATTCTTGAATAAAATACTTGCGCCTATCATATGTTTTGGTATAATCAGTCTTCGTTCAATGATTAAGCTTCAACTAAGATATGGCACGATCAATGATTGATGATCAAAAAGATATCGAAACGAAGCGAAATCAATCGCAATGTCAACATCTTGATGTGAACTCATAAGAAAGAAAAATACAACTCTGAAATTCGTTGTTATTGATATATAGATTTATTTCATTCTTAAGCTATAGATCGAATTACCAACTAAGTCCCAATTAAGATTCTTCTCGCGTGTTGAAATCAATATTTGATTTCTTTGGACAAATATTTTCAATGAGAAGAAAAATCAATGCGATTCAATTTTTTTGTTGATAAAAAATATTCCATTGCACTGAAAATCTACGTCTAAAACCTTTTTCTTTATACTTTTTAACTATTCCATGTTGGTTAGACTATCTAAAAAAATATATTCTTCTGCTGTCTTATCATTTGAAATAGGGTTTCAAGAGAAATATGTGTTGATTTGATTGTTTGGACTGAAATTTTGATGAAAAGCTGATGAATATTTCACGTAGTCTTGGTCGACAACCACTCAATGCATCTCCCTCTTTCCAGTATCAACAAAACATTTTCCTATTTCCACGACAAGATGTATTCTTGCGTATTTATGATTATTACTCATCTCTCAAAGCAATTTCGACTGATTTGTTTCTCTTGTTTTGCAGAAATACAATACAATTGAGAGTGTGTGAATGTGGCTGTGGGATGTGACTGGCTAGGAATATATGAGGTGTGGCTGGGTGTGGGTGTAGGGTGGGTTCTGAGTGCTAGTGTCGGGTTAGATTATAGGTGTGAGTGTAGGGTGTGACTGTGTGTACGAGTATTAGCTTTACTTAAGAATCAAATACTCAGACCCAGATCCAGACCCACATCCAAGTGTAATTATTGGATTATTTATATTTCCTAGAAAAATATTACGGTTCAAAAGCATGGCAATAAAGAATTCTCCATGTAAAAATGGGATACTAAACAAGTCGGATGTTTCTAGAGTCAAGTTTAATAAAACGAATTTTTCCTGTATATTATTATATTGAAACACATATCGTAGAAATACCATAGTTTTGTTGACTTTTCGCTTTAAATGTTGTACAATCACTTATTAACATCAATCATATTAAGAGAAATTAATTAAAAATATTGAAAACAAGAGGCTGTGAAAATTTGTAGGTGGGGGTGACATAAAAAGATGTATTCTAGAGGATCTTAAAAACTGTTTAAATTATATATTTGTGAATCTCTGAAAGAATATTCTAAAAGAAGGATATCAAAATGAAAATTTTCCATGATAAGAGAGATTTTACCAAATCTCACTTTTCTCAAAGCAAATTTATTAAAATAAGTTTTATTCATGCAAGATATTATATTTAATCATTCTAGATCAAAAGCTAAATCGAAGAAACGAAATTTCGGTCGAAAAAATGAGAAAAACTATTTTTTTGACATGGATATGTGCTTTCATCAAAAGATAAATTAATTTGTCTTTATTTCTCGTTCAAACTTCAGTATTTTGAAGAAAAAATCATTGATCTCTTTTTAATTTGAGCCATTCTCTCATTCTACACCAAAAATAATCAAGTAAACAAAATTTCTTTGGAAAAGATAAAAATAAACAGAGTCCATTTATGTTCATATGTTCGGTAGATTGGCGACAAATTTTGGGTGTGGATGTGAGTATGGGTGTCGATGTATGGGTGTGGATGTCGGTCATTGCTTCGTCCACATCCCACACCTACACTCACTCACACCCACACCCGCACCCTATATCTACAGCCACAGTCACACTCACTCCCCACCCTCACACAATGTCATCAATTATTGTATTCTACCTTCTACTTCTGACAGTAGTTATAGTATCATTTGTCAAAGCTGTGCCTGTTACAGAAAACATTGTTCATTCATGTGATACAGAATATTATGAATACACACTGTGTTCCGCGTCAATTAGCTCTCCAAGTAGTCATAAGGACACAAAATTTGATTTGACCAACGGCAACATTTCACGAACATGTATATCAGTCCATCTTTTCTGGAACTATCCAGGTGCGAACTTGACGACAATCATTGACACACCATTTACTTAGGAAAAACAAGTCTACAAGCTTTATATTGATAATGAGCAATTGAAACCTTATATATCACATGTTTATCGAGTATTGAATGGTCAAGAAACAAGTGACAACTACTGATAAAACACTTATTCAATATTTCGATGGCAACTGTAAAATGATTCACAAGTTTGAAGGTCCATCCACGTTGTATTATTATGGCGTTTTTTTATCAATTACAATATTACCATCATGTTGTGAGAAAAATGTTTGTCTGTGATGTTCACAATAAAAATTAAAAAAATGAAACATAATTTCAATGATAAATCATTGAACTTTAGGAAGAAATATTACAATAAAAGTTAGTTGACAATATATGATGAAGTCATGAAAAGAAGCTCTCTAATGTTTATTCATATCGAAAACCAGTTGTCTTGAGAAACGTAAAACTTTTATTAAACGTCGCTGTTCGAATATGCTTTGTGATTGTGATGAGGGAATGAGGCAAGTTTGTCTTTTGAAACTTAATCATATCGATTCTTGCATATCTGTTACAATTACTTTAGTTTTGTCATTCTTTTTTACATCATTTCCTTTCTTAATTCTCATATAAATATTGATTTTTTCCATCTTCCAAGCTGCCACTCGATGAATATTTCGAGGCATTAGTCTGATAGTTCGATGCCAACAAAGGATCTATTTCTGATGAATTTCGATGGATTCAATTTCAAAAAAGTTTCGTTTCCTATATCTTATTGTCTTGCGAGTCTTCAATACCTATCAGATATTTTTGCAAAAATCATAAAACTATATAAAGCCATGGAGCAAACAAAAAACTCTCTGATCACATCATGAAAGAAAAGAAAAGAACTACTCGAAAATCGAGTTTTGAAGAAGTTTTCAACGATCAAAATTAAAACGAACAAAGGAATTATTTTTTCAAGAAGTTTGCTCTTGCTGATGGGTCTCCTCTCTTCGAATAGTCGGTGTTTTGATGGGTTTTGGGCGATCGAAAATAAGTATGCGATGGGCATCGAGAACTCAAAATTTGAAGTTCGAATTTCGAACAGAAGACAAAAAAAATTGTCAAAATTTCATTACTCGTCGTACCCATCCTTAGCTTTTTTAGGCCTGCTTGGGTGTGGCCTCCAGATAGTATTCAAAAATTGGAATCATTTGAATGATCAAATCCCTGGAATACGGAACCCGTGATTTTTCGATCTGTGACCGGGTTCAGTGCATGTCTATTGATGATTATCAATGAAATAAATTATGACAGAGTAAAATCTGAATTTTTGCTGAATTTATCAACGAAAAACTCAGATAACATTTACGTGGTAACCATAAATGAGTAATTGGATATGTATGATTGTTTGACATCACTATTTTTATAGAAATCGAAATCGAGCTAAAGACTTGTCTTTTTATTTTCTAATGATTAAATTAAAGCTTCTTCAATTATTAATGAGTTATACGTATGAAAAGAAAGACCGTATAATTTGATACTTTGACTGTCAATTATAGATCTTTCAATTTTTTAGCGTGACTCAATGAGCATAAAGATTAAACAGTTTCACTTAAGATTCTTTCCTTAAAATGAATTTCTATTTAACAAGGTCCGTTCGAGCTAAAATTCTCAGAGATAAGTGGGCCTAGTAAGAAGCTTCTGTGGTAAAAATTCTAGATCAAACTAGACCGGAATTCCAGGTTATTGATAGTCCATTTACGTATGTCATCAAGAGAGCTTCGGAACTCAGAACGGTTTCAAATTGAAGCTAACACCTCCACACAACTTTTATCCGACCAGAAATTTGAAGTTCGCTTCCATTGATTTTCTATAAATATTTTAGTGAACTTGTGTCAAAATAAGGCTAAAAAAGCTGATCCCTCCATAATATGAAATCCCACTTTTCTCAGTCTAGAAATCAAATAGAAGAAATCTAGTCGAACAAGAATTTACTCTCACTCAGAACTTAAAAATCAAAACAAATACTAATTATATCTTGATCCGTTTAGTTTAGAAATCGATTTGTTTTTCAGGTAAAAATACATAAAAAAGGCATATTTACAATACACTTTATATTTTCTTTATGCTCTTGTCTTTTTGTTGTTCTCTTTTTATGGCAACTTATTATGCGCATTGTATAATTCCTATGAATAAACTTGAGCATAGTTTATTTAAATTAAATTAACACAACATTTTGAAAGTAAATAAAAAGTTGATTCTCGCAAAAAGTCTTAGCACTTTGTAAATTTTATGTCCAGTGTCAAAATGTAAATATGTTACCCTGATCCTAACTGTTTTATTAATGTTCTAAACTCCGACAATTTGTAGCTGATTTACTTTTATTAGATTTGTTTTTTATGTCTTTAGGAAAAAAAGATTCGCTTTTGAATAAGATAGACAAGTTCATTTCTTCAAATAATTTCAAGTTTGACATGTCCCAATCCATATTTATCTTTATTCTCTACAAATAATTGTTCAACTGCTTGAAGATATTCATTGTGAAGTTGATTAATATCGTTAGAAGTTGGATCATCAATTTGAACAACATGAATCGGTTTACCAACTGAAATTATCTTTTTACTATTTTACCTATTAACAAATAACTCAAACGCTTACCAACAGTGGTAACGGGATGCCGCAACGGTAGCAGTCCCAGAATAAATTGACCCCAGGGAACACCATTAGGTATTAACCCGAAAAAAGTATGCCGTTTGTACAGTTCATTTTCTCCGAAGGAAATAACAGGTACAATGGAAGCACTATAATAATGACACAAGCAAAAGAATTTTGTAGAGATTAATCAATGTAAAACTACCCATATTTCAAAGCCAATTGAATGAAACCTTTTCTTGTCTTCAGATAAAGTATCATTGTGTCATTTCGTGATAATATTACTTCTCGCTGACCACCAATAATAATAACCAATGCGTTTCCTCGACCACATTTTCCACTCAATAAATACTCACAACTGTCACGTGATACACAGCATGCCCCTCAAAATAGACATCAAATATGACTGTATATATGGTTGAATACTCACCCGATCCTAGTAAAATATCGCGTGTAAATGGATTGAAAAATTGCATTCGAAGAAGCATCAAATGTGGACGAATGTTTGGAAAGAGAATAGAAAAATGTGTTGCATCCGTACCAAAATTGCCTAATGCACCAAATGATCCTATACCATGTGGATGATAACCAAATATATAATTTCGATTTGGATCGAGATCCATAGTTTTAATTAATGTAAGAGGAAAATATTGTACCCATCGTGTCCAAATATAACATTGACGAAGACAATCCGACCATCGACCTCCTTCTGAATCAGTATGACGATCAATGAACAGCCAACAACAATAGATTAACGAAAGACTAAGAATTATAGTCGAAGACCAAGCCCATGATAAGAAAGTAACCGCTAATGGTACAATGATAGGTGAAAATGCACAAAATGAGGTAATGGAACTGAAGATTATAAATTGAATAATTCGTTCAAAATCCATCATCTGAAAGCATATATACCAGATCTTCTTATTGTTTGAATTTGATTCATTCGAATTATCTCGTTTCAAGACTAATTAACTGGATTAAAGCAACATAAAAAATTCTCCGCAAAGAAAATAATATTATTTAGAGTTAAACGCATCGCTGACCTTGAATATTTCAATATATTCAAGTACTTGACTCTCGAAAGTGTTTATTAGGGAAAACAGGTTTGTTGAATATTCAGTCGTTATTCTACAGTCTCTTTTTTTCATAGATCGCTGGAGCAGACAGACAGCGAAGGAATATGTTCGATCTGTTTTGTAGAATGTATAACAGGTTTTTATTAAGAGTAATATTCGAACTGACAACAATGTCAATGTCACAACGAGCGTCAGCTACTTAGTGGCAGAGTGACGTCGATATTTTTCTTGACATTGTCAACGAATCTGTCTGAAGAAAAAAGAAAAAAATAACAAGATATATGTTCGTCTATTCTGCGTATCAACACTCACTGAGGAGATACAAAAAAAAGATGTCGTATGATATTAGCATTAATGTCACTCTTAAATCAATACTAGCATACGTGTAGCCAGAAGAGGAAAAGAAGCATTATATCATATGCTTTTTTTTCGTATCTCTCTATAAGCTAGGCAGCCTTGGAGAAACGAACTAGCAGAACAAAATAAATGCTTATGCAAATTGTCAGGGAAAATACCCACTTGTTGATGCATATCATTCATATATAAGCAGTGCTATCCCAATGAACTATTTTCATCTATGTAACAGGCATGTCGCTCACATACCTTCAGATCGCTTTAGTAATGTGCGTGTATTTTTTTTATTCATTCAAGCTATACAATTAAATCGTGTTTACATACAATGTGTAATACCTGCTTACGTGTAGCAATTGCGACGAAAATCCGGCTGCAATAAGAAATATTCGTTTGTCCTAGATGTCCCGATTTGGAAAAATGTCAAAATCATCTTGGAATAATGACTGAACAAAATCGCATTCGTGAACAACACAAAGCTGCATCGGTTAGTCGAAAACAACTTTCGTCTCTTTCATTGATTTTAAAATATGATTGTCGAAACGTTGTTTCAAGAGTTGATGAATCTATTAAAGATATTACCGATTTAAATGAACGACAACGAGTCAAAAAAGTTCTGGTTTCTGTTAATTGAACCGGTAGAAACGAAAAAGATTGAAAATTGCTACGCCGACAATGCACTCAATACGAATATCATCGTCAATTGTCGTACGTCTGAAGCCACGTCGAATTCAACTTGGTCCACGAAATGAAACTTCAACGAGGCTTATTCGTCGAAAAAGTTCATCTAGAAAAGTTATTGATTCAACAGAAATTCGTGAGCGAACAAGAATGCGACAGAGTAGACCAACAATCCAAACATGGACGAGAAAGTTCATGAGTTAAGCGATTGCAATCCTCAGTCAAACTCAATATCGAAATTGAATCCGATGCATTTTGGTCTTATGGAACCAAACTGTGGCATATTCACGATGTCAAACCACGATAACCGTCAAATACCGAGAAAATTAGCTTCGAACATTGCATCAGGCGTAATTTATCTTATCAACTAAATGAAAAATTATTGGCTCATGCAGTTTCCAAGAAAATAAAAAATATTTCAGAAGAACAGTCTAAAAAAAGCTTTTGACAAATTGTTGGAAAGAATAGAACTTTGTATAAATAAATATGGTGACTATGTTGAATATTTAATAAAATAAAACCGGAACTTTGTCCTTCACTTTACATTTTTTTTTAATGATTTCAGAACTTTTGATCAGATCTATGTATATGCCATTACGGAACTCAATGGTACTATTTCAAACTCATTATTCAGTCATTCGGTATCAAATCGATAATTGATTATTATCATTATATCGAGGAAGAACAAGCACATAATTATATAAAAAAATTTCTCGATTCATTTTAATTCGGTCGTACCAATTTGGCAATCATTTCCAATTGATTATTTTTTTAAACAATCAATCAATTCGATTTTCAACATAACGTTTTTTTCTGCGGAATCTTTTTTTCTTTCGTCGCACGATTGGTGCCTAACAACTGATATCAGTATCGTTTCGTTGATCGAAAACATGGTTGTAGAACTGAGTCACCGTTCGCATCGTATTGAACTTTCATACAATCTTTCAGTTCCTTATGCATCTACAACTAATTACGCTTCAGTTATAACTGTTCTCAATGCTCTAAAGTTCTGATGAACTTCCACTTGCATAATTTTTTTATTTTTATTTGTTTTCTTACGCACCACTATTTGTTTCTTTTTCGTTGTGTTGACGTACACACTTGAGGGTGTGGATAAGTGTGCGTGTCTGAGTGTGGGCGTTAGTATTCTACATACTCGCACCCACCCACATCCTCATAATTGTATGATATCTACTTAAGAAGCCTTTAGTGCTTCTTTAGATATATAGATATGGTCGTATTTGTTTGAATCCATCTGTATTTCCGTGAGATAATGAAAAGATTGCTTACTTTTGAAATCTTTATTTGTTATATTATTATATTCATCCTCACCCTCAAGATGAGAAGATATCTGAAGGCGCATATTCTTGTCCTTGCACGATACTTCAGAGCAGTTATTAGATTAACTTCTATGTAAACATTGTCGAATAACAATTTGTAATTCTTTTCTATAAGTCTCGGAAAGGAAGATGTAAACAAGAGGAATTAATAATGATGGTAAAAATGAAATAAAATATTCAAAGAGAAATAACCATGGATTACGAACAGATTTCATGCATCCAGATGGAAATGAAATTATAAGACGAGGTACACCGATAATAACAAGTACAAATGAACTAATAATCAGATGCTTATATTCATGAAACTGTTTCCGTAAATATTACTTATATGTTTGCTTTTTACGAGCATTCAAATGTGTTCGAGGTGCTAACATAACGATCATAATAGCTGAGATAAGATTAATAGAACATGTAGTAATAAAATGAACAAGATGTATGGCAGAATCATAAATTTGTAGTTTTGATGAATATCGAGCAATACACCATGTTCGCTCTTCTTCTTTGTCATGTATTAATCTTCGATGCACTGAATCTTGAATACCACTAGTAAAACAAAAGATTATCACTCCGAGAGTAATCCATGGAGCGATTTTTTTGCTTCTCTTTTTATTGAAATTTGCACCTTTTATTATTAAAAATGTTCTTTCAATAGCCACACATGCAGTAAACCAATCTCCAATAGCTGATAAAGATGGAAGTGTAAATTCTATTGAACTGCAATTGATCGAAAGAATGATATGATCTGTAATCCATAGGGATTGAGTAACAATCAGTAACCATCTTGGGTGTGGGTGTGGGTTTTCATCTTCTTCTACCCACACCCACACTCTCAAGTAAACTTAATTCGCTTTACTCATATGATAATGTTCTCTAACAATAATAAGACAGTCGGTTATGGATGTGCTGATGAGAAAATCGTTTTTTGAGTTCGAACTCTATGTATAAGGTAGATCCCAGTGAGGTGCAAAAAATACCCAAGAGGATAAACGTCCTTAGGGCAGTTCTCGAAAGTTATAGCCATTTTACTGCAATTTTAACTTATGACACAGTATGTGTACCAAAAAATTGAATAATGATATTTCTACCTGAAATTTCGTCCACAGATATGTTTACTTGTGACTAGAATGTTTCTTTCACGAAATATTGACTAATATCCGACGAAAGATGCCAGAATTTCATGTTTTCTTTTGAACGAAAATTGTCAGAGAATTCCGATCACAAGTGGATGTATGTATGAACAAAATCTCAGGTCGAAATACCGTCATTCGATTTGTTGGTACACAGTGTATAAGAGGCTAAAAGACCTTAGAGTACTTATCCTTTTGTGGATTTTTCATACCTTGCTGGATTCTACCCTATTTAGAATCTTTGAACCCAGAAAAGATTTATCAGTTGAAATGGTTCTCTTGTCGGTACAGTTACTCTTGTGTTCTTCTCCTCTTTTTTTTTTTACATTGATCGTGTTTCACATTTTCTTATTTTATTTTGTCACTGTTGATGAAGATTTTCTTTTTTGGTTGACATTATATAGACGTTCATTTCTAGCAATAAAAGATCGAGAAGAGAAAGAAGTTTAGTAGGGAATTATTATAGATGAGAATTGTTTGTTTGAACGTGGTCTGAAAATATAAATTTCTTCTGGTTAACAATCATTGCTCAACATTTGTAAGAATCTTCGAAAAAAAAAATTGTTTGACCGAATCTTTTTAGTTTTTTAAAAGTAAAACAAAGTCAATGGTCTTTTTTTGTATTCAAGAAGAAAATTTCTATAAGCTCAAAACAATCTTCGATTAAAATTCTCATAAAGAATTTTTTATTAATTGCTTTATTTAACAAAAAGTCTTTGCTTTTTAGAATCTTTTCAATAATAATTCTTTCAAAAATAAAGCAAATATTTTTATTATTGAATATATTCAATGCAACATCTATTTCGCAGCAAAATTTTTTTATACGAAAATGTAATAATAATCTGATTACAAAGAGATTCGTTATGTATTATAATTGTAAATCCATTTATATATATGTTGTATATAGTTACGATCTATATGACATTATAGAACGGAAGAAAAAAAAAACACATTAGTGGAAGGATATAATAATAATGACGAAAAAAAGGAAAGAGAAAAAGTCATGATTTTGTATTGAAAAAAAAACGATTTCTAATCATAATTGAATAGTGCGTTACAAATAAATCCATCTATTACTCATATTTAAGATCAGTAGATAGTTGAATATTGATTATAAACAGTTTCTATTAGCAATACTACAGCGCATTCGTACGTTCACTTAGAAGGATGATATTTATGCAGAACTATTTGAGTAAGTTTCTATTGTTTTCACAGATCGAAAACAACACTGCGAATATAACATTTGTTGTTCTCTGTCATCGTACATCTAGTTTTGATTGGTAAGTCAAATTATTCAATCCACTTTTACTGAAGTTAAGTGAGGAATTTTGATTGTTTGAGTAAAATTTTTCTCGTCTTTCATAATGAGATATTCTTCAATTAGTGTGTGTTGTATTGAGATACTTGTTCATTTTAGATACATTGTCTTTCTTCATCGACACATTGCTCAACCATTTTCAAACAAAGTTCTTACGATACCGAATCAAAAATCGCATTATAGAAGAATAACTAAATTTGATCGTATATCTTCAGTAAGAGACAAAGAGAGAGAGAGAGAGAAATATTTCATGGCATCAAAAGCTCAATCGTCAACAAGAGAAACGAGTGACTTTTATAAAGCATGCTCAATCAATGATATTCCTCTGGTAAAATCGTATTTAGCACGTATGACTGTGGATGAAATCAATCGAATCGAACCTAATGGAAGTACAGCATTGCAGATAGCATCCTATCATAACAATGCAGCTATTGTACATCTATTAATTAAACATGGAGCTTCAGTTTCAATTCAAAATGATTCAACAAAACTTACTCCATACGAAGAGACAACTTCATCTTATATAAAACATCTTCTAACAAGTACAGGTAATAAAGCATGGATTGAATGGACTTTTGTGGATCCACCGACACGTGAAACAAAACAAATATTTGATACAGAATTAGAGAATAGATTTCATAACATGGGTTTATCATTTATACTCAATTATTTGCTAAATCACTATGCTCGTGGATATGTTGCAAAAGCATCTCCGAAATCAGCCAAACAAATTGAACAGTAAGTAATGTATTCGAACAGAATTTCTTAAAAAAAGAATATGACAAATATTAAATCATATTAATATTCAATATGAGTATTAGTCATTTTGTTTCAGTATCAAAGAAACGATTAATTATAGTTAAATACATCTCAATAGTATTCTTTATCGATATTATACTCTTTTTATTTCGTCAAAACATTTACAGTATAATAAAGTATTATTTGAAGCATTTCCAGTGAATACTATATAACTATTATAAATTTAAGTAGAACAGTTAAAAAGACTGGATTTTTTTAATTATTCCATTCATACATTATTTTATTTTATTAGATCAATATTTGTTGTCAATTCATATTAACTATTATTCATTTCAAAAAAGAATGAACTCACTTGTTTGTTAAATAACTCGGCAATACTGAAAGCCATTTTGTCGTTCGAAAGAGCATAAATGGAGTGCAAGTTCACCTAAGAATCAAAATACTTGAAAAGCTTTCTATGGGGTTTCAGGAACTTTTTAGAAAATCACTGTCTGATTTACTTGATTAGATGTATTTTCAAGTGAAATTGAAAATCCAATATCTCGAGAAAGGAATGTCCTTTTTGGCTGAAACTTTTAATATATTCTATGGACAAATTTTCAGGTTAAAATTTTATAATTTCATTTTCCAGTGAATATCTGAGAAAGGGTCGAAAGTTCAGTAAAAATGGTCAGCATTTTTTAAGAAAAGATCGAAAACGCCTAAACATTTCGAGGTTTATAAAGTAGACATTGGGCTACAATTTGGTTAAATTAAGATTCTCAGGTAGACTTGTATCCACATTCATGCACTTTCTAACGTACAAAACCGAACTCGATAGCTATCAGCATTGTCAAGTTATTCAACAAAAAACAAGCGAGTCCATTCTTTTTTGAAATAGATAATAGGTCCTTTTACAATAAATGCTCTATGTTTTCTTTAGAACATTATTCAAACAGCAACATTGCTAATGAGTTCGTCCCTAACTAATCATTCATCCCATCAATTCATTGAATCGAATTTTGTTAGGTGAAAAACTTGCGTGCTTTTATCAAGATGTATTATTTAGAAGACGATTCTCGATTAAATAATTCTTTTACCTGATAAACTTACATATAGTCTGTGTAGATACACTAAAAAAAATGACTGCTAGTCGTTAATATAGTACGAAGTTAACCAAATGTGTTTAAAATTAGTATTTGTCGGTTTTCAATGTTGTTCATTCAAATGAAGATGCCGAAGAGAAGAATGAGATTTTAATCAATGTATCAGTTTCTCAAATGATTCTTGATAATTTAATGAATATTGATTTTGATAATCGACAAAAGCACGATACATAACCAACGAAGAATTTTTTTATGAAAAAAAAAAATATTCTAAACTCTTTTATGTATGTTCTACTAATGGTGCTAATGAAATTATTTAAGAAAGAAAATAATTTTTTTCTATCCCATTGAAATGTGAAGCAAATATTAGAATGCTTTAAAAGAGCAGTCTATCCAAGCCGAACCATATTGCGAGTGTACTACTTAGTTTTTCGTTTCAATTTCATCCAATTAGAAATATAATAAAAGTAATGAAAGAATATTTTATTTTCATCATGATTTACTTTTATCGATTAAATTTTGTTCTTCATATGGAATCACATAGATATTTCGAAGAAGCACAAATGCACACAAATTTGACTCCACTGATAAAGGCATATACTGCACCTTCAATTTATTTTTTCAAGATTGTCTCGCAACATTGCATTGAAGTTCTTCCTGACCTTCTGAAAATTCCATTCGAACCACAGAATACTTTGGCTGCCAGTATTTTTTACTTACTTGCCGCATATAACTATGATCCAATGCTTCGACCAAGATATACATATATCGGTCATGTTTATCGAGGTATAAGAATGAGTTTGGACTGTTTTCTTACTTACAAGAAGAATGAACTAGTGGTAAATCGACCGTTTGTTTCAACGTCGAAAGATCGTAATATTATGGAACAATTTAGTGGTTATGGTGCATCCAGTGTATTTCGAAGAAGTTATTCTAGTCAAACTTCATTAGAAATTAGCGTTCGATGTACCTATAAGATTCGTCGTCCAGAAACACGTGCAATCGATATCACAGAAATGTCAGTATTTGAATATGAACAAGAGGTACTTCTTATGCCCATAAGTATCTTTCGATTGGTTAGTATTGATCATAATGCAAATGAAAATGTAGCTGATATCGTACTCGAAGATTGTGATCTACCATCTAAATATGATCTCGTCGCGCCAATAGTTCGATGTGATTTTGCTGAATTTTCAAATACTTTATTGGTTGCGCCTTTCGTGCAGGTATGAACTTCTCTGAAATTATTATTAGGAACTATTTAGATTATCAATCAGTATATATAAGAAGGAAAAATTTCAAACGAAATGTCCTTGAAAGAATTATTACTAGAAATTTTTCAATATGAGATAGATCTTTCTTATTATAAACTGCAATTATTAGAGAGAAAATGGGAATCGAGTACAACTTAGACATCTTTTTATGTATAGATAGGTTTTACATGATATGATAAACATTACGATTTTATTTAGTTGATACCTTTCAACTCACACGCTGCTCCAACTATCATTCGAAGCTCAACTGATTGGAGGAGACGATTGGCAACCATCATCATCAACATGTCGAACAGAACTGTCATTATTCTGATCGTATTGATCATCATTGTTTTTATTCTCGTGCTGTTGGCTATTCTTCTGCCAAATTTATTACGTACTCCATGCAATAACAATTCTTCGACAGTACCATCTCCAGAGAGAAGTACAAATACTCCAAACCTATTTCAATAAAAGGAACATTAATAAAAATAATTCGAAGTAAAGCTTTTCTAAATATTGTTGTATCTGATTTATAAGAACAAAAAAACGAGATATATAATGATACAGTTCCAGCATAACTACAAAGTACTTTATTTATGATTTTTTTTTTGAAAGATTTTATACTTTCTCTTAAATTTTGAAATGAAAGATGATCTTGTAGCAGTAAACGCTGCAAGATTTCATCAGCACACTCGTGATTCTGTAACACTACCGTTTATCACAATATGTAGGATATATAGTATTAAATTGTTATGTATTGAATAATCATATTTATATTATTAAAATAAGTGTCAACGACTGAATCTCTACTTCTACCACAAGTTCTTTACATTGAGCAAGATCTATCTAGATAAATACAGCAAAACTTCTCTATTGTAAACACCACCAGGACCATTCAAAAGTGTTCATTTTAGAGAGTTGACACATAATTTGCTGCGAAATGAAGAGAAAGTTCTAGGAAAACTGCTTCTGCATTAGTCCAGGATAAAGGTCTAGTTATTTATTTTCTTATCCATTTATATTCATCTAGAGGATTTCAATTGAAAATTTTTTGCAAAAGTCTCTACTGTTGATTGTCGTTTTGCTTTCGAATTGAAATACACTACTGGCCAAAAGTATCGCCTCTTCTCTCCTCGGATCTCAGTTAATACAAGAACTGTAGCTCTAAAAACCCTGTATGTATATAGTTCTCGATGAATGTCGTAGATCAGCAACAAAACCCGCGCTCTCGTTGCATGAGGCGCAATACAGCAATAATCCGTGCGATCTATTATCCATTGTGTACTTCATAACTCAGGAAAGGAAAATACTTTATGAATCCAAAGTCTTCTCATTTTATAGTCCTATACTCTTGCTATATATAGTGAAAATTTTATTGAAACTCATCGATCTGTTATGAAGCTAGGAGCATTTTATTGTAAATATCAATGTACGAAAAAACCGTCCGATCTCATTATGTAAGTTATAATTCTGTGAAGATTTGATCAATCAACTTCAAACTTACAGAAAATACTTCTCTATATTCATCCATCGCTTTCTGAAACTTTCAGGCATATATCACTTACTAGATACCAATGAAGATATTTCTATATATTTAAGCAATTGATCTCATACCTAACATGCTTACGAGCACATTTCTAACAAAGAAAAATTTTAAAATTCATCAGGTATCATGGAAAACAAGACATAAACTTCAGTGATGCATTTTCTACTCATTACAGTAAAATTGAGTAAGAATAGGAATGTGATTGATTGAATAGATGAAAGGAAGAATCACACGGACGCTTATACTGAAAGCCACACCCTTATGCACATTAACATTCACAGTCATACTCGCATTCATCATCATGCATACATGTGAGGATGTATTCGAAATGATAATTACGTTTCTATAAAGTATATTTTTAAGTAAATGATATACTGTCTAACCTTTCTTCAGAATTTTTTTTATTCCATGTGAGTAAATTTCGACACAATAGCCAGAACATGCAAAAAAACCTTTGCAAAAAGTACACTGTTATTGCACAACCAAATGCAATTTTATATAACAGAGATATTAAGAGTACGTAAAAAAGATAAAGAAAAGCATTTGAAGATATATA